TCATCCTCCTCCTCAGTGCTCTTCACAGACACAGGACAGTGGGCTCCATCATCCTCCTCCTCAGGGTTCTTCACAGAGACATGGGACAGAGGGCTTCGTCATCATCCTCCTCAGTGATCTTCACAGACACAGGGCAGTGGGCTCCCTCTTCCTCCTCCTCCTCCTCAGGGTGCTTCACAGAGACATGGGACAGAGAGATCTGTCATCATCATCCTCAGTGATCTTCACAGAAACACGGGGTAGCGGGCTCCGTCATCATCCTCCTCAGTGATCGTCACAAAAACACGGGGTAGCGGGCTCCATCCTCCTCCTCCTCAGTGATCTTCACAGACACAGGGCAGCAGGCTCTGTCATCCTCCTCCTCAGTGATCTTCAGAGATGGTGTAGTGGGCTCCCTCATCCTCCTCCTCAGGGTTCTTCACAGAGACATGGGACAGAGGGCTCCGTCATCATCCTCCTCAGTGATCTTCACAGACACATAGGGCAGTGGGCTGTGTTGTTGTCCTCCTCATGGTGATCTTTACAGTGACACAGATGGAGGCATGAACTGGATGTGCTCATGGCCTCACTGCTGAGTCCCCGTTTTCAATGTACCACAAGCTCAATTCACTTCAGGGGAGTCGAGCACTTGCATGAGGTAGGAGGCCCCAGGCCCAGAGCCATTGAGTAGTGGGAAATGGAGCCCACCTGTGGCCACAGTCTGCCAGAGCAGGGCTGGCTTCTGTGCTGCACCGTGCAGATAGCACTGCCTCATCACAGAAAGTCTAGTGTGTTCCTAGAGAACACAGAAGCCCAGTGACCACGTGAGAAGCACGCCCAGCTCCACACCATGGGGCCAGGTGACCACACATGGGGTGAAGAAGAGGGCAGCTGACTGCATGCTGCTGTACTCAGCATGAGAGGAGGAGGACATTCAGTAGTGTCCCTGGTCCCACAAACACAGCACCTCCAATAATCACATCTGAGTGCACACAATCTTAAAGGTCAAAGCAATTGGAATAGGACCTGGGGGGAACCAAAGAGGGAGGACGGAAGCATCGCACAGACCACACCCCGAGCAATAAAATAGGGAACACCCCTGTCCCCACCTGCGACAGGGCCCTGCAGCCTCTGGACTTACCTAAAGACAGGTTCAGGACGTCGGGGCAGGCCAGGTGGGAAGGTTGCTGCTCCACCAGCTCAAACATGGGCAGGGCACCTCCGAGCAGCGACAGCTGTGAGCAAGACACAGCTGTTAGACATGGCCCATCAAGGGGTACAGCCCTAGTGCCCCCACCTCAGAGACCACCACTGCGAGCAGACAGAAAACGCTGATGAGAAAGCAGAGGCAGCCTCCACAAGAAGGCTCTTAACCCCATGCCAAGACAGGAACCCGACACGGTGCTGCCCCACAACAACCGCATGTGATCAGATCCATCCATCACATGGAGGGCAACATGTGCTAAGGCTGATGAGCACCCCTCGGGGGCAAACTCCACTCCCACCACCCCTGATCCACACAAGACCGATGAATTAGAAATCCCATTCTAAAGTTCATGTACAACGTCTGTCCCCATGCTCTCTAATCACGATGAGGACATTGCCACAGCAATGGCCAAATGAGGGCCATGGGAAGCTCCACAGCCAGGCACCAAGCACTGGTGGAGGAGTGAGCGTCGGAGGCAGGATCCCAAACCAGAGATCCTGAGACTGGCCTTCAGCCCCTGCCCCAGGCAAACAAGGGAGCCGATACCAACCTTTTTGACTTGCTGGCACCAATCATTAAAGTCGTCCTCAGTCTTACAGAAAAACCCCTAAAACGAAAAACAATAGTAAGCAGGGAGTGGCATAAGAGCATGACCAGGCTGCACCTCGACGCTGAATAGGTAGTGACCTGAAGAGGCCAGAGTTTCCATTCCCAGTGCCCCTGCAGGGACCCTGGCGCACATGCTGGATGCTGCCATCACCACACATCAGACCATCCTACTTCCCAGCCTCCGCATTACTCTGCGGGCTCTGTCCATGGCTCGACCCTTTGCCCTCTGCCCTGACTGACCCAGGTCATGTTTTAAGGCCTGAGAATGAGGCAGGTTATAATTACATGTTGAGAGCTCTCTTCTCCCTGTGACCCTGGGGCAGGGCTGGCAGGTATGAGACTCAGCCTTGACCCACTGTCTCCTGAGCAGCTCAGGAGCCAAGGCCACCAGGACTCACAGCACAACTTGAAAAGTGGGCCACCTACCGAGAAACAGTTAGTTGTGGGAAGCAGTGGGGAAAACTGTGCTTAGAACCACTGTATGCAAAGTTTACCGAATTCTAAACACCACCAGGACTACAGATGTTACCAAGAAGAGAATAAGACACAGAAAGGAAAACAGCAACAGGAAACGGGAGGAGAGACTCAGACAGGGTGCTGTCTCCCACCCGGTTGACAGTCTACTGTTCGGGGCTCTGGTGCAAGGACACATGGAACGTTCTGCTGGAAGATGAAAGGCTTGTTTCTCCCGAGGAGCCAGCGTGCACTCCTCTTCCTCACAGGCAAGGATGGGAGTCATTCCTCCGTGTGCCGAGAGCTCAGACACGCACCCTCCTTGCTGCTCGTCTCCATGTGTCCACCGCCTTCGTCCATGGTGCCGGCTTCCTAGTGTGACCTTATTTTTACATGAGCATCAACCACTATAAGCTACCAAGATGCAGTTCCTGTAATAAGTATATGTCACTTTAGTTAGACAAGGGATTCATGAGTGGGTTCCTGTGAGAGTCGAGCCTCTGAGCTCTAGCCCACTGTCCTGGTGCCCTCCTTGGGGCCACCAACCTCAGGATGTGACACGAGACCCACAGATAGTACAACTAGAAGACATCCTGTTTCAGGACCAGATTTGCCTCCTAGAGTTCATGACTCAGTTAATTACTCCCCTAGGGATGTAATTATTTCTAGGAATTTTTGGCCTCTTTGTCCATCAAATACATTTTGAGAGCAGGCAGGTTTCCATAAGTCACAACCAAAAATTCCAGCCTTGTAATCAAAAGAGAGCAAGGAAGCTCATTCTTAGGGATCATCTCGCAGACACGTTAAGTCAAAAAAACTAAAAAACAAACCAAAAAACCCCAAAGAGGTGGTGCAGAGCAGTGAGTAAACTGCCATTATGTTAAAAGGCGGGGACACATTCATTGACACTCCTGCTGACTCACACGTGCGCTCACACTCACTCACAGTCTGGCCCACACCAAAGCTGCGTGGGCCACACACGAGGCGGACGGCCTTGGGAGGGACGTGAGTGACTAACAGACGTTAACTCTTTTGTGCCCTCTGAACTCTAAACCATGTGAACGTAATGCTTATTCCAAAACACTGAAAAAAATTACAAACACCTGAAGTCTTTCTTTTTCTTTCTAAAAGAGCAGGATTGGCACAAAATGACTCAGAACACCTGCCCACAAGCTCACTCGGTTAGAGGAAATGTGATGGACTGGGGGACGCACCACGGCAATGGACGGGTCGAGCTCCCCAATGCTCATCCTGCTGGGAGGGTGCTGGCAGTGGAAGCTCTCGTCTGGGATAAAGCAGCTGTCGGTAAACTCCACTGCTGGCTGCGTCGTGTGGGGGTCCAGGTAGATGAGCTCCTCACCTGGGCAAGATGACAGGGAAGTCAGCCAAAAGGGAGCAGGCAGGGGCCCATTTCAGACCCACCACACCAAAATCCCCTTGACTGGATGAGCCAGGTTGGGAGAGACAGCGGGTAGAGATGGGGCAGGAAGCAGACTGTCAGGAAAGGAGGGCACACAGGAGGCTGAGCAAGGGCCAGGTGGGGTCACAGCAACCCCTCATGGGAGCACGCTACTTTTCAACTGGTGGCCCTGGGTCAAGCCCATGCCTCTCGGTGTGCAGCGAGGTGGAGGTAGGTGTGAGGGGGCTGCCCTAAAGACCACTCCCTCTTCCTTGGCTTCTGGCCAGCCAGGACGTTGCTGCAGACCCACCACTCACCAACGTAGCCGATGAAGTAGTGGGCACTGTTGGGCTTCCCTCCAATGACCCCCAGGGACTGCGGCATCATAAAACAGCGCTGCAGGAAAGAGGAGGGAAGGAGGAGCTGCTGAGCACACTGTGGGCCTGCTGCCCAAGTGCGAGGAAGAGGTCCACATCCCTGAAGAGGGGCAGGTGTGGACAACTGAGTGCAGCAGGCAGGCAGAAGGCGGACACCCGCCCACCACCAGGGGAGGCCCTGAGTGACAGGAGAAGACGTGGTCCTGAAGAGCTTAGTCAGGAAGGAGGACAAGAAACACAAACTGTGGCTCAGGAGCACAGAATCTGCAGTCACCCTCAGGAAAGCTCCGTATAGGAAGTGGGCATGAGGAAGGTGGTAGTGAGGGGCACTGGGAGGAGGTGCAGACAGGGGTCAACCTGGCCTGCACACAGGGCAGACAGGTGTGCAGGGCAGGCAGCCGGCACACCGAGGCCGAGAGTCGGTTTGATTCCACAGGGCAGGAGAAATGGAGACAAGAGGCCAGTGGGACCACCGAGTCAGCAGGAGGAGCAGAGGCCACAAAGGGCAGTGGCAGGGAAGAGCGAGCTCATGGGAGCACAGGGGCCAGCAGGAGGGGTGACTGGAACATTCCAGGTCCAGGCCAGGAGGTGGACAGAGGGCAGGAGGAAGGGGGCAAGATGGTGACAACTGAAGGGTTTCAATCCCCCTGCTGGTCAGCAAGAGGACGGACCCACTACAGACCCACCTTCAGTGTCTCCACATAGGCCTCGTTGATGTCCGTGAGCCCCAGCCGCAAGGGGATGAGAAGCACCAGAGGTCTCCATGGTGCCAGCCTGTTGGTGACCTCAGCTCCAGCAGGGAACCCATTACAGTGCCGGCTGGAATCTGCAGGAAATGCAGCGGCCCCTACACATGGAAGGCTGCTCCTGCACAACCTTCCTGAAAAACGGAGACGTGCTTTTATGGGCTGAAGAGGAGGAGGCAGAAGTTCACCCAAAAGAAACAGGTATCTAATCATTCTGTCATAGGGAAAGGGTATAAAAAAGCCAAGTGATTGGAAAATAAAGCATAAGACTAATCCTGTCATCCACAGAGAAACAAGAATCAGACATTTTCTATGCATATTCAATTTAAAATGTTTACTGTGAAATACAGCATGTACACAAAACACCTTAGAGAGCAATAATAAAACAAGCACCATGGAGTCACCAGCTAGCCAGAGGCAGCACTGACCGGGCCTTCAGAACTCCGGTGGCCCCTCAGCAAGGAGAGCAACAAGGAGTAACTTCTCTCCTTCCTTTTAAACGTTTAGGCAACTTATTTGTTCCATCTAAATGCAGGGGGTGATCCTTCAACAAATACGTTACTAGGGGGTTTAGTGGTGGGGAGAGACACCCCAGTAGCCCTGCGCAAACCAGGCACTGAGTCCGTGGTTTCTAAACACCCCACCCCATCAGCAGGAACCATGGCTCCTGGAGAAATGGCTGATTCCAGGGCTGCGGCAGGGAAAGTACTAGGTGAGCCCAAATCTAATTAATGCCAGAAAGGGAGTGCTCGAACAACAACAAAAATGACAGGAACATGTCAAAAGACAGAGCCAGCCTGAAGGGGTGCACACCAGCCAAATTTGGGTAAACGTGGAATGACCATAATGGATAACACATTAAATAAAAAAGAATTCCACAAAAAGAGGCATAGCCTTGACCCAGGGCTGCCAGTTGAAAAGCAGCATGCTCCTATGAGGGGTTGACTCTAAAAAACGTTTTCCCAATGTAAATAAGGAGAGGGAAGGAGGAAGAAAAGAGGGCTCTCCTCAAGAAGAATGCCAACCGATAAACATAAGGGAGTGAATGCATTAGAGAAACCACCACTTCGGACACTAGGTAAAAACTCTCAACGCGCATTAAGTACCACCCTCAGATCATTCACTAATCACAAGGGAAACAGAGACCCCGTCTTACCCAGGTGACCCAAGAAGCATTACTGATAAGGAGAACCTCCTGCTGTGAGGCTCTGAGGACCACACAGCCACTGGGTAGTACTCTTGGTCAAAAGATTTAATCCAAATCTAATAGAAAACAAACAGATTGAGTGTGCGACTTCTACCAAACCAGCTTGGGTCCTTCAAAAATGTCAATGCTATGAAAAACCAGCAAAAAAAAAGAGGGAGAACTTCCTAGATGGAAGGACACTAAAAAGGCATGGTAACTATACACAGCACTGGCTCCTTGACCAGGAGGTCACTGGGACAGCACTACCATCTCTTCTGAGGCCTGTGACACGGTGGTGGACCAGTGAGAAAGTAAATGTGCCAGAATCCCTACGTGAACCCAGGTCAGGGCTCATGGCTGTGTTTCACCTTGGGACTGAAGTTCTCAAAACAGACAGCTGGAAAAAGAACTGGGGAGGGGGTATTTTAACTTTCTTTTTATTTCTGGCTGCCTAATCTTTCTGTGACGTTGGATTTACAGTAAGAAACATATGTTTGGTTTTCGTCCCACTCTCGGCACAGAGCTCCCAAAACCCTTGGAATTTCCTCAGTTGAGAGCCAAGAAGGTGTCTTTTATGTTTATGAGGTGACTTTTGGAAAGACCCTAGGATGGGCGCTGGCTGCCAGAACCCACATTTTCCATGCTGACTAGATCCTCACCAGTAGCACAGACCCCCTATCTGAGTAACAGCAGACACAAGGATCAGCTCAAGAAATGATGGAGGCAAGGCCTGCTTGTCACTGCTGCACTTAACAGGACTTGCCGAGTCTGTGTGCGGCCTGCTACATTACAAATGTCCTGGTGGTAAGAAAGAATGGGTTTCCGGTTGTCCCAGGCACCCATTTGTATTTTTCCAATGCTCCCTTAACATTTTTAACATATTTAAACACTCTATTTTTCTATCAACGACAACAATTAAACAATACCTATGCCTTCCCCCGCCTCGGGAACCCCGGCGTTTTTCTCAGAATAGTGAACATTTTCCGGCAGCGTTTGGTGTGGCAGGAAGATGAGATGGCAGGGCCAGCTTGGATCGCCTTTCTTCACAAGCAGCCATTATTATTATTATTTGGATGCTTATAAAAGTTTCTCTTTATTTTTTGCAATTTGGAAATGTCACTAGGAATGTGTATATTTAAATATTCTTAAATTGTTGGAGGTCTTGAGCTCTGAAGACTCTACTCCTCCTTCAGCCCACAGCCATTTTCTCCTGTTCCTTCCTGGCCACCTGCCCACACACCTCCAGACGGTCGAATAAGTACAATCACCTCTATTTCTTTGCAGAGATTTCTATTTCTGCCGTTGGGATCTCCACCTCTACACACTTTTTCTCTGATTAACTTGTATTTAATGTTTGATCATTGGTGCCATTTGTACTCACTACCAGACTATCTTTCTCGACCTGCAATTTCTCCCTAAATTCAGTGACTTCTCACTGTCTACTGTGCTCGTAAAGGTCTACATCTATCAACATATCAACATTCGACTCTGGCAGAGCCTGTTCTGGATGTCCTGCTGGCCCTCAGAGAATGGACGGCAGGTGCATGGACAGGGACACCCCAAGGAGCAAGGCCTCTCCTCCCCAGCACGCTTTCCGTGAAGTCTGAGAGGGAATGTTGTGAGCTGGCTTTTACTGGGGAGGGGCTCTGGTGGGACTTCTGACACCAGAAGTCTTTTCCTGTCTAACCACCCACAAGAGCCCTTGCTTGGCTAGGCATTGCTTCTCCACCTTTTGCTTTGCTGAATCCAAGATTTCTCTCCCAGTCCTGCCACCTTGGGTGACTTTGAGTGGTGGCCTAGAAAAGCAGGTGATCTATCTTCACTGAAGCCCTCGGTGCCTCTCTCCTGGGGCTCTTGAAGCAGAAAGCAATTAGTACAGGCCACTCAGAATTACGTCCATTTCTCCCGCACCTTACCACATCGTGTGCAGGCCCTGCTTCCAGCCCCAGTGTCCTTGCTGGTTGTGTTCTGATGCTATTCTTCCTAAATTCGGGCATCAAACATCCTCCACTTGTCCCTGTGATGAGCACGCATCACTTCTGACTCGGTGGAGGGGAGGACATCAGTGAGTCAGGGCCCTGATCACAGACAGGCAGCCACACAAATCCCACTTGGGAGCCTGAAAATGCAGATTCAGGCCCCTCCCCAGAACCAGACCCACACCCTCCTCAGACAAGCCCCAGGCGCATGTCTTGTCACAGTTCCAGCAGTGCTGCTACAGACAACTCGGAGACCCCAGAAGAGAGTGGAGCCGGCGTCCAAGCACACAGTCAAGTCGTCTCCAGGACCCCACCAGCACCACACCCCGCCCCAAGGGACAAAGGTTCTGGAAAGCAGTTTGCCCCTTTCTCCTTGCTGGCCACCATACCGGGGCAACGAGCATCTCTAGTCTGAAGCCAGGGACTGGACGAGTGCCTGGGCTAGACCCTGAGGTGGGTGAAGAACGATGGGGCAAGTGGTTTCCCAACACTGGGGGGAAGAAAGAAATCAAGGTGAAATGGAATATTGTGCAGCCAGATAATAAGACAGTTACAACATTTTCAATGACAGGAGAAAATGCTCACGATGCTACATAAGTGTTTTTTGGAAAAACAGAAAAAGCACTGGAAGGCAGTATGTCTACATGTCAATATGAGCTATCTCTGAGTGGTAAAATCAAGCGACTTTTTCCCTTCTTCGTACATTTCCTAAGTTTCCCATGTTGTACAAAAATTTCAAGAACTGGAATGTGGGGAAAAGGCAGAAAGAAGAAACGTACATCTTTCTGTTATGGCAGCAGGTTCATCAGCTCTTGGGGGAGGAGCGTCACTGACAGACAGGGAGCTCTGGAAGAGCACACAGACAGGCAGAAATCCGCACTGCTCTTCGCCAAGAAGTCCCAGCCCCGGCTCCCCGACACTACCCTGACAGAGTCCCCAGATGGAAGAAAAGGACAGGTTACCAGCAAGGAAGCCCCACCCGCGAGCCAACAAGCACTCTCTCAGCAATGCTCCACGTGTGCAAGCCCCACTTTCAAATGTCCACATCAACCTGCAAGTCTGCACACTTAGAAATGGCATCGCTCAAGGTGCTCTTTCCTACGCAAAATTGGATTCAAGGCAACAGCCTCCATGTGGAACTTCAATAACACTGGGGTTGAGGCAGCTTTGGTAAATTCTTTGGGAAAAAGGTGCTGCTGAGTAAAAAATTTAGTAAGGCATTAAATAGGGTTTTGTCAGCTTGACTGTAATATAGAACGTAAAGCACGAATTCAAAACTCACTCTCTATTTGCCAAACTGAGCCCTCATCTTCCTCTTGGACTTAAACTTCAGCATGCCTGGATTCCTTCAGGTTCCCAGTGGATCCTTCCAGAAAAAGGAACAGAGCTATGCTCCTCCTTCATTTACACCTTGGCTTAACGTGGTGTAGTTAAAAAGTGGTTCTTGCTATCATCTTACACCCATGAGAATAGCTATAATCACCAAGACAAAAAATAACAAATGTTGGAGAGGATGTGGAGAAAGGGAACCCTCATTCACTGCTGGTGGGAATGCAAACTGGTGCAGCCTTTATGAAAAACAGTATGGAGATTCCTCAAAAAACTAAAAATAGAAATACCTTATGATCCAGCTATCCCTGGGTATTTATCCAAAGAACTTGAAATCAACAATCCAGAGAGGCTTATACACCCCTGTGTTCACTGCAGCATTATTCACTATAGCCAAGAAGTGGAAGTAACCCAAGTGTCCACCAACAGATGGTTGGATAAAGAAGATGTGGTATATATATATATACAATGGAATACTACTCAGCCATAAAAAAAGACAAAATTGTCCCATTTGCAACAACATGGATGGACCTGGAGGGTATTATGTTAAATGAAATAAGCCAGACAGAGAAAGACAAACACTAAATGACTTTACTCATACGTGGAATATAAACTAACACACGGACAGAGAGAACAGTTTGGTGGCTACCACGGCGAAGGGAGTTTGGGGGTGGGCACAAGGGGTGAAGGGACACATTTATACGGTGACTGACAAATAATAATGTACAACTGGAATCTCAAAATGTTATAAGCTATTATGACATCAGTAAAAAAAAAAAAAAAGAAAACCTAAAACAATAAAAGTAAAAAAAAAAAAAAAGTGGTTCTTGCCTTTCTTTGTGGTGCATTAATGCACATAAAGGGATTGAACCAGAATACGTCCACAAATGCAGCTAAAGCCCAGCACGCTTTAACCAAATTTTTGTAATAAAGACACAAAAACAACAAGAGTACTAAGTAACCCACCTCTGGAGAGCATCCAGGCCTTTCCCTTCGCCTGGTCTACACCGCAGAGAACAAGAGGTCCCCTGGCCTTGTGCAGGGTGCCGACCTGCTCCGAAGGACTGCCAGTCACGCCACTCCCATCGAGGCCCCTCTGTGGGCCAGACAGGGAAGCGGGCTCAGCAGCCACTCCTGAGTGCCATCGGCCATGACCCCTGCCTTCTCGTTCACTTACTGATGTCCTCCATCACCACCGTGTTGTCCATCGCTATGTGGACTGCCAAGGCGCTCCACGTGTCGAAGACAGCGAGCTTCCTAACAGAAAGGGGAGGACACGCCAATGAGCCTTCACAATTCAAAGACATTTCAACTCTGCAGGACAACCGAGGGCAACAGCTGATATCACAGAGGTCTAGCTGTTTCTCAGACGAGAAAGCCCAAGGCCCAGAGATGCCCAGTGCCACAGGTGGGGTGGGGGACAGAGCTGAGGTTGAGCCATCTCTTCTCACCTGGGGCTCAGCACTCCTTCCATTACCCCAGCTGCCATCTGTAGAGAGAGTCCTCACACAAGAGCCTCTCAGGGGCGTCACCTCCTAATCTAGTCACACACAGAGGTGGGAACTAGAACGTGAGCCCGAGTCTCAGACACTGCATGCTTCACCAACTCTGAGGCAGGCCAGCCACACCTTATCCCCCAGATCTCCCCACAAAAATGCCGACCTGACAACAATTTGAGTTCTCAGAGAGAAACCTGTGGTTTAACAACTGGAAATGATAGTGATGAGGAACTGTGGTCACAGAACAAAGGTTCTGAGAGACAGGCAGACTCTGCCACCAAAAGTGTAACAGGAGGGCCATGTGAGCTACTCCTGGGTGCTGTGGATGCGGGCTCGCAGGACTGAGATGAAAACGAGGGGCTCCCTGAGCCAGCCCCGTGACTTAGCAGTTAAGTGCGCGCGCTCCGCTACTAGCAGCCCGGGTTCGGATCCCGGGCGCGCACCGACGCACTGCTTCTCCGGCCATGCTGAGGCCGTGTCCCACATACAGCAACTAGAAGGATGTGCAGCTATGACATACAACTATCTACTGGGGCTTTAGGGGAAAAAAAAAAGGAGGAGGACTGGCAATAGATGTTAGCTCAGAGCCGGTCTTCCTCAGCAAAAAAGAGGATTAGCATGGATGTTAGCTCAGGGCTGATCTTCCTCACAAAAACAAACAAACAAACAAGGGGCTCCCAGGTGAGAGGGAGGACCTGGTGTCTGGGGACACGGGTGGAGGGCGGGGGGTGTCAGGACGACCACAAAGACCCCTCCCATTGGGAAGGCCAGAGCAGACGCCAGGAGAGCACGTGCAGGGCTCCACCAGCCGCCTCCCTTCTCCTCCCTCCTGAGCTCGTGCTCGCCGAGGACCAGGCCCAGTGCTGAAGACACAATGACACATGAGAGACAAAGCAGCCCCTTGAGAAGCTGACATTGCAGAGGGGAGGCAGACAAGAAAGAAGTAACCGTGTGGGGTAGTAAGTGCCATGAAGAACAACAAAGCGGGAGGCGGGGAGGGGTGCACCACCGCAGGTACAGGAAGGCCTGACGCCAAGGGGTGTCTGGGCAGAGGTGTGGGGAGCAACCCAGGCAGATGCCGGGAGAAGAGGTTCTGGGCAAAGGGCAGAGCACATGCGAAGGCCCTGAGGTGGGCGTGTCTGAGGAGCACAAGTGCAGTGTGCCAGAAATGAGTGCAGGGCAGAGCACACCCAGCCCATGCCTGCAGCTTTCCCAAGAGTCAGCTGGGAAGCCCCAGGACAGTTCTGAGCAAGGATGGATGGATGGCTGACTTATTTTACGAAGATGACTTCTGCTGCTATTTCAAGGATGGCAGACTCTAGGATGGCAAAGAGAGAAGACCGACAAGGAGGCAAGAGATGGAGCTTGGACCAGGGTGGGGCCAGTGAGGTGACGAACACTGGTCAGAGTTTGGACACATTTGGTTGGGGTGTGTTAAGGGAAAGACGGGTCTAGCATGATCCCAGTTTCTGGCCTGAGCTCCTGGAAGGATGGTGCTGCCATTCACTGTCAGAGAAGCAGGGGGGATGGGGGAGAGGGGCGAGCTGTGGGTTTTGACTGTTAGGTTGACATGCCCCGTGGACATCCAAGGGGCGTTGCTGAGTAAGCATCCAGACATGAGCCAGCCCAGGGGATGTGACTGGGAGCTGTGTGTGTGAAGACAATAGCTAAAGCCGGGCCTTGACAGAGTGAAGAGAAGCAGCCAAAGGCCCAAGCTGAGCCCTGCAGTGCTCATGGTGGGGTAGGAGGGGCCAGCAACGGAGGCAGAGGTGGCCAGAGGGGCAGGAGAAGGACCGGAGAGTGTGGCTGAGAGGCCCAGGGTTTCCAAAAAGAGAAAGCAAGCACCTGCCTCAAGGGCCACTTGCAGGATGGCTGAGTAAGCCAGGGACCAAAACTTGGCACTCAGACATGAAGACAGATTGATGGCAACCTCGACGGGGCTGCTTCAGGGCAGCAGTGGGGAGGAAGGCATCAGTGAGTGGTGCAAGACAGGCAGGGCACACACACAGACCACACAGAGACCACACAAACTGATCATGCAGACCATGCACGCAGACCACACAAATTGACCATGTAGACCACACACACAGACCATGCAGAGACCACAGACAGACCACACTTCCAAGGCATGCAGGGCTGGGACTCTAAAGGGCATGTGGTGGGGGCTGGGTAAGAAGACCAAGAGACAGTGGGCAGGCCTGGGGATTGGCTAGGAGTTGGACATGGAAGAAAAGGAAGTGTCCTGGAGGATCACAAGAAATCTGGCAAGAGCAGCTGTGTGGAGACAGCAACCATTCACTGCAGGGAGGAGGAGGAGCTGGCTAGGGGATGGAGGGAAGAGAAGGGCAGTCTCAGAAACGCCAAGCATGGGTGCCTGTGGGAGACTCCCGTGGGGACAGGGAGCAGAAGGGAGATACACGAGGCAGGATGCTGAGGGAAAGCTGTCACTGGAGACAGAGGTTTCAAGGAAGAGGAGATCAGTCAGAACAGAGGTGGAGGTCCAAGTAGAGAGGGCCGCCTGCCCGCACCACACTGCTGTCGTTCCAGACCAGTCTCCACTTCCCAGACCGTCAGAAACCACCGTAACGGATGGATCCATGTCACAGACAAAGAACAAAGGCCCAATCCAATGGGCACAATCCGGAAGAAGGTATTCATTTTATTAGAAAACATAAATTCTGATACACAAGACCACTTGGCATGGTCACCTCTAAGGACACTCCTGAGGGCCCTGAAGGAAAGAGTAAAAGACCCCTTACTTCCTTTAGCCACGAAAACTTAGAAGAGTTTGACCACCAAACATATGTTCCTGCTGCCCCCAAAGAAACGAGAGGGATGGGGTGTGGTACATACTTGAGAACCTGGGCGACGGTGTTGGGCCCGTACCACTGGCCGATAGACTTGCCCTCGCCAACTCCCATTTGTGCTGCAGGAAACAGATCTGATTAGTGACACACACGGTCCCCGACTCCCCTGACAGCCCTCCCTTCACCTCTTAGGAGAGGCTGGTTCTAGCGGCATGCAATATTAGGAACACTTTACAGGAAGCCTGGACAGGCATGCCCCCACTCCGCCTCCAGCATGAGCTCCTGACAGACACCAGGACGCTGCCTCCAAAAGGGACAGGTGCCGACTCAAGGTCTGTCCTTCACTACAAGCCAAGATTCCAGTCCTTCAATAAGGAGCAAGATTAGGAAATGAAATGACTCAGATCAATTCAGAGCTATACTCTTACTTCCTTCTACAAGCGAGAACATGATGCTCAAAAGTTAGACTGGCTTAAAACAAAGGAGCATTCAGACTCACTGATAGGGCATAGAGAGGAAGGGACCTTCAAGATCACTGAGTCTGATTTTCACAGATGCTGTGACGAGCACCACGCCACTGCAGGCCATGCAGCAGGCAAGGGCAAGCAAGGCCTCGGGTCTGCGCTAGCCTGGACCACCCACAGCAGCCCACAGTGGTTACAGGCCAAAGCGATCTACAGCCTCACACCTCACAATGCCAGAAAAGCTCTCAGGGGAACCCAACGATGTGCTAACAGTCATTCTAAATGACCAGGACCTGGCGCACTCTGCCCTCTCCCCACCTATCTGGTGAATGGAGTAGTAACTGTCCTTTCTGTCGATGAATGCATTGAGGACACTGAAGTAGCTGTCCGGCTGCCTCTTCCGTTGTGTCCACCTCCAATCTATTGAAGACAGGTGTACAAGTTCAGTTTTACCAAATCACGAGACAAAAGCCTTCACTTTTACAAAACACTCAAGACACAGATGGCACCCAAACCCTGTTTGAACCTTTCTAAAATTAGAAGGCAAATTCTCCAGGATTTCAAATATACATATGTCAACCCATCAAAACAAGCCCATACAGAAAGCAGAAAATGGTTTCAGTGGTTTAAAGATAATTTCTAAAAGACAAACATTTATCAGTATTCTTTAAAGTCACTTTTTTTAATCAATGAAAAAGTGGGTTGTTGGTTAGAAAACCCTGAATCCTACTCTGTTTTATAGGGATTTCCTTTACACAACCTAACCCCACAGTCCTTTTTGCTTCCTAAGAACATCGCTGTCCCCAGCACCATGACTCACCTCGGCCTAAGTGCCGGCACACCAGGGCCTGGGCAAAGATCATCTGTCCACAGCGCAGCATGCAGCCCCAGCCTGTGTCCGAGGTGGGGCCGGTTCCCCCTGTCAAGGTGGACAAAGAGAGAGGCACTCACTGTCAGATGGCCCAACAGGCCCAGAGTCCACCGCAGGAAGCCTTGATCATAACAAGCTCCAGTCAGCTCTACACTGCAGGCGTCAGCTCCATCTTGGGTGACACACACCATTTAGAACCTGGTCCTGCCAAAGCTGCATTTGCTGGGAAGTGAACTGTCCTGATAAATGACCCCCTCAAAATGGGCAAAATATGTAAACAAGGAAGTCACGGAAAAATAAGAATGTCTGGAAAACATATGAAAAGACACAGCCTCGTGAGTGACCCAGGAAACGCAAGGTCAAATAAGGAGAACCATTTTCTAACCACCAGCAAGGCAAAGATTCAGTTGTGGGGAGTGCAGGAAGGGGCCTCACATGCAGTAAGGGCAGAACCGTAACTCAGAGAGGGCCAGCAACAACCCTCAGCACTTAGAGCACACATGCCCTTGGGCTCGGCCACGTCCACTTGCCAGGGCATAGAAGGACTCTGACACTGAGCACTCTGGTACCACATATATTGCCGAAGAGGCCCTAACATGACAGGAAATGCCCCTAATCGTCAGCAAGACAACAGGCAGAGATTCAGGGATCAGACAGATGTGGGTTACAGTCCAGCTGGCCCCACCCTTTACCCACAGCACCACCTCAGAGCCTCTGGCAGGCCCTCCCAAGCACATGGGTAGACAAAGCCAACCTCTTGGGACAGTGATGGGACCAGAGAAGGATCCCTGTGTGACGTGCTCTGCAGAGAGCCTGGCACAGAAACCACTACCACTGGTACCTGTCATTAACATTCCCCCCACCTCCCATACAAACAAGTCATCTCCAAGGGGCTAGGGAAGGAAATAGACACCGCTGGCCTGTGGAACTGAAGCGGTCCACCTCCTCCTTAACAACTTTGCCAAACAACACAAAGCTCCTCTCTAGCCCGTCCTCTTCCATGCGTTCAGACATCTGACCTCTGCCTGCAGGACAGTGGTGTCCCTCCCAGCACCACACAGCACGTCTCAACTGCATCCAGGGCCGAGCAGAGCGGCCTCGGAGCAGATGTGAAACAAGACCTTGTGGGACAAACGACCATTTCCAGAGCACATCTGACCAATCACATCATGAAATACTAACCTGTGGTGATGCTGAGCTCATTTCCCTATGTCTCAGCGTTCCCAGAGGTCAAGCGCTGCAGCTATTTTGCGCCCACCTCACTTGCGGAGAACGGATGAAACCACATCGAGGAGAGGGACCGAATCAAGACCAGCCACTAAGGAGGTGCAGCCTCCTGGTCCTGAACCTCTGGTCTCGGGTTCTCTGACTGGCAAAGGCCAGGCCAAGAGCTGGTCCCCATCCTCTGTCCACCTCCAGGGGCACAATGATGAAGAACTACTTTTAATGCAGTGTATTTTAGTGTTACATGAAAACATGTCACATCCACCTTGCCCTTCAGCTCTCCCCACAACTAAGTGTGGAACATACCAGAAAAGACGATGAATAATGGCTTCCAAACCTCCTGGACCTACAGTAAGAAACACATTGTACAACCATGACCCAGGACAGCATATAAACAAATTAAAGCCTCCTGCAGCCACATACTGCCTTACTACGGTAACACACTATTTCACATCCACTCTGTTCTGCATTTTTATTATTTTTTTTAATTTATTTATCTTTTTGTTTATTGCAGTAACATTGGTTTACAACACTGTATAAATTTCAGGTGTACTGTTCTGCATTTTTAAATGCTGGTGACTCATTATCCTGATTTTACGTTCTGGTAATAAACTGTGACCTGCACTTGGAAAACCAGCACCCTCAGTAGCGTGGTCCTGGGTTTGGAATCTGGCTCTGCCACAACCAGGGGCGAGACTTCAGCCAGCTTACTTAACTAGGGCTGCCATGAGGACTAAAGCCAAGTGACGAGGATCCGGCTACTGAAGTCAACGCTCTAAATCTAAGTTTTCCTCCTGCTAAAACATGTATATTTCGTCACGTGTTGTGACAATGGAGTACTTACCAATGGCTGGGAAGTTTTTCCTGTATGTAAACCAAAGTCTCGACGTCACATCAGACAAGATCTCGTCCTTTTCTAAAGATTGTTTAAAAGAAGAAAACATGTACAGACACAGCCTTAAATTTGTAGGTCACGTGTTACAGAAAGTTAGCAGATAACTATTATTACCACAAAATGCTTTCTGCAGACTGAGCACTAAGAACACAGCGGGCTCCAGCATGGCTGATACCTGTGAAAATGCTGTATTTTCTACCCAGTATCCAAACAGGCTCCGAGGTCTCTGGGAAATCTTCAAACTCAGCAAATCGGAGAGTGTCGTAGGTCAGAGTAGCTATTGAAGCCAAAGACACACACTGATCAAGATTTTATAATTTCGTAGAATAACACCAGAGATCACTTACAGCATTTCCGTATAAAGAGCCCACGTGGAAGTCTGTGTCTCAGTGCCTCCTCATCCCAGCACCTTAGCGGAGCCACCTCGACAACCACTAACAAAGCAAACATATGTGACTGGGCAGGGGCTCTGCTAATGCAGGGATGGGGAGGCAGGGCCTGCCAACCCACTTCCTGAACCTTTCAGATTCCAAGCCAGAGTCAGTGTCTGCCAGACAGGAGGGAGAGAGGTCTGGGGGAGAGAAAGCAAAAAAGAATACAAAACAAAAAAAAAGCCACTTGATTTAAGCACTTAATTATTTTATTGTATTATTTCTTTTTGCGTGTGTGTGTGTGTGTGTGTGTGTGTGTGTGTGTGTGAGGAAGATCGGCCCTGAGCTAACATCTGCCAATCCTCCTCTTTTTGCCAAGGAAGACTGGCCCTGGGCTAACATCCATGTCCATCCTCCTCTACTTTATATGGGATGCTGCCACAGCATGGCCTGACAAGCGGTGCATCAGTGCGCACCCGGGATCCGAACCAGCGAACCCCGGGCCACTGCAGCGGAGCGCGCGGACTCTAACAGCTTGCGCCACCAGGCCGGCCCCAAGCACTTAATTATTTCAGACTTAAAATGTTTAAAACCTAAAGGACTAAATCAAAATAAACCGCACCCTTTATCTTTGTATGCAAGAGAGGCCACAGACTAAACAGAAGGTAGAGTAAGCTGTCATGGCCAACCCAAGGTTCGCCAAGTGTCACCTTGGAGCATGTGCCCAGTTGCCGTGATGAAGGCAGATGCTTCAGGGGCAAGAAGCATGAGAGCTCCTGGACAAGTGGGGGTTCTAGTGCACCCCCGATTTCTTGGTTAGTAGCAGTTAGCTGCAGCGGGGCAGGGTGCTACTCAGGGGGCGGGGGAGGGGGCACTAACCTCCGGAAATGAGAGATAAACCCTTCTGCAAACCCTTCCAAGGCCCTGGGTGCTAAGAGGTCTGGACATCAAGGCCTGGAACCTGTTTTCACTTCGATGATGCTACTAGATGGGCACAGCCACCAGCTTCCACCACTGCCACATCCCACTCCCTAAGGAGGTCGCTATATGCAGAGACTGGTGCCTACTTGCCATGCTAACAAGACCTATGCACCATTTTATTTTGTGTTGCTTCAATTAAGAAACTACAGATCTTCCTCGATTTACAATGGGGTTACGTCCAGATAAACCCATCATAAGTTGAAAATATGGTAAGTTGAAATGCATTTAATACAACCTAACCTACCAAACATCCTAGCTTAGCCCAGCCTACCTTACACGTGCTCAGAACACTTACATTAGCCTACACTTGGGCAAAATCATCTAACATAAAGCCTATTTTATAATAAAGTGTTGACTATCTTATGTAATTGATTGAATACTGTACTCAAAGTGAGAAACAGAATGGCTGTGCGGGCACATAATGGTTGGAAGTGTATTGGTTGTTTACCCTCAGGATGGCAGGGCTGATGGGAGCTGCGGCTCGCTGCCACCACCCAGCGTCACAAAAGAGTATCTATCGCATATCGCTAGCCCAAGAAAAGATCACAATTCAAAATTCGAAGTACGTTTTCTACTGAATGCGTATCACTTTCACACTATCGTAAACTCAAAAAATTGTAAGTCAAACCATCCTAAGTCAAGGACCGTCTGGAGAGGCCCAGCATCCCTCCTGTCCCCAGATCCTGGCTGAGGAAACCCTTCCTCTGCACATGGTTCCCAGACTCAGCAGGGCACAGACTGATGCCCCCAAGGCGAGGTACACACAGTGTGTTCCAGAGTACCCCAACTCTTCAGCTGCTCTTCAGAGAACCCTCAACATACAACTCTCATCCACTGCCTCTCAAGCTTCAGCAGTGCCCAGTCACTCGTATCCTTCACCTGCAACTTTACAAAAATCTTTGGAAAATCAAAGACAGTATATGAGTTTCTCCCACACTTGAATTTATTTTTTGATAATAGCCCCACCTTTTGGTAAAAATGACACATGCTATAAAAAAAAAAAACCCAAAGACTACAAAAATATAAAAAATCAGCAGTAGCCTCACACCCAGCAATGAATCTCCTTCCAGAGGTCTCTATGCATAGATCCATAAATGAAACCACACCACACCTGTGGTTTCCTCATCTTTATTCTTCTCGACAATGAGATGGTCATTCCACTAAGACAACAGGCTCCACCAGTCATCACTCCTCACAGACACAATGCTCCACCAGTGGTCACTCCACACAGAC